TGGGCATGTTCTGTCACTGTCACCCTCCCTCCTCCTGCAGAGTAGTGCCGCTTCCTGCCGCCCCCACTAACATGTAGGGTCATGAGGAAAAGCTCCGTCTCAAGCCTGGCTCACCACTGGTTCTGCATGTTAAGCATGTCATATAGCAGGTCCTTGGTCATCAGCTTAGAGACAAATAAATTTTACAAAGAAAAAAAAATTACCCCTATTTTTAAGACAAAACCAGGAACAGAAAATAACAGTGACATCTGAAGCCCATACATTTCCCAGGAGGCTTGAGTGCCCTAGGAACAGCAGGGGACTACAGGCTGCAATCCCCAGACACTTGGTGCTGTGAGAGGGAATGTTTTCGAAAAGAAGCCTACACAGGAATTTCTCATGGCCTGTACATGTTAGCCAGAACTAGCTGGAGAAATCACAGTCACACATGAGAAAACTGCAGGACGCTCTCTAGGCCACCACATTCACAGCAGATGCAGCAGGTGGAACCAGGCATGGATTAGAGGCAGCAGCCTCAGCCTTGGAACTGGTTGGTGCCTTTCTCCAAGAGTGAAATGTCATGTTCTAGAGGTGAGGCTCCTTTCAGCCTTACTTCTGCACTGCAGCTGCCATTTCTGAATGCAGCTATGCTATCTTTCTTACTTAGCGGGTGGCCTCTCTCTGCAGAGCCACATAAAGATGGAGCCTGAGATAAAACAGACTTGAGGCACGCAAGTACACTACCTTAGGAAAGAAGATGAAAGAAAAGCCAAGAAACCCAGGCCTGGAGGCTAAAAACACTGCTCCCTCAAAACCACCTAGGGACCCATATAGCCTACTGAGCACCTGTGATCTATTATTGATAGGGAGAAAAAAAATTTCCAGCATCCTCCACACACCCATGCTCACCTTGATAAACCTTCAACCACTCTGGCTACATACATTTCTTTGGCAGGATTGTTTGGAAGAGTAGGGGGTTACTTAAATACTGAGTGAGTCTTCCTAAGGTACCACCTTTTTTCTCAGCCATGACAACACCCTGTGGCCTCTAGGCAAGAGGGCTATTTTAGAAGAAAAAGGCCTCGCTGAAACAAAGCAACATTGTACAAAGAAAACCTAATTGGGTCACACTTCTGGTGAGTGGATTCAAAAGCTGAAATTAATCTCACAAAGACAACAGATGCCAGGTGTACTTAGAGAAAAGGTACTTTTAAAAGAAAGACTCAAGGGCCTAGAACATACATGCTGAAGTGCTATTTCTTGTCAATTTAGTAGCTTAACATTTGCCAAGGTGGGGGAGGAAATGATGAGTTGTTTTAAGGTCCAAGATTACTCTCTAAACATTTTCAGTTGGCCAATAGCACAGATCTTCAACTTTTTTGTAAGCTGGGTTATCTGGAGACTCAAACATCTGCAGAGGCATAAGCTAGAATGTATTGATCAATAGCAAACTTAATTACACTGGGTAAAAGTGATGGAAAATCAAACTACAAACATAACTGTGTACTAAAAAAGGGGGGGGACAAGAAAACACTGTGCACAGAGGTGGCTTCCTGTAGGTTTGTTTCCCCTTTTTGTTTCACCGTTTTGTCTCTGGTTACTGCCTGTTGGCAGCCAGACATCAGTTGGCCCCAAAGTATAAGAAACCCTCAGGATGAAAAGCGTTAAACTGGAAAGATAACGGAAGCCAGTGTTATTTTTGTTCTGAACATTGCCAAAATGCCATTTATCACTTTGGGCACCCTGCAGGCAAAGGAGCAGTAGTTGTTAATGCACCCCTGGGGACCAGGAGGTCCTGTTACAATCCTCTTTCGCATTTGCACGAGCATGGGGGCTGACAGTTAGTGTCTGGGCAATGTAGGGAAACTGTCTTTGAGTCTTTGGCATTGGAGAATACAGTCTCTGAGCCATCCTACCAGGCAGACTTTGGGAACTTGACATCCACCAACAATATATCCTGAGGGAGCAACTCTGAAGTCCTGCTAGGACAGGAATGGTCACTGGGAGATAGCAAACTGCTCAGCGACTTCCTGAGGCAAATGCTAAGATCTGGCTTTTGAGCCTAGCAGGCTGGAAGAAAGTACATGAGTGTGCATCCATGCATACGTGCAGAGCTCACACTGCAGAGGTCCAGATGTCTGCCCATCATCTCAGGGATGCAGGTGGCTCTCTTTACAGCAAGTCAAGCCAGGCTGGGCCTCTCCCTTTGGAATAAGGCAGCTGTTCCCAGCTGTTTTTCTGGGAATTTCTGAAGAGTTGATTCTACTTACAGTTAGTGTGATTTGAATGTGAACTGTCCCCACAGGCTCACACATTTGGACACTTGGTCCCAAATTGGTTCTACTGTGAGAAGTCTATGGGACCTTTAGGAGATGGCACTGTTTGGGAAGGCTGTGGAGCCTTTAGGAGGTGGTTCTGTTTGGGAAGGCCGTGGAGCCTTTAGGCGATGGAGTCTTAATGGGGAATGTAGGTCATTGAGGTGGCCTGGAAGTTCCAAAGTACAGCAACACTTCTCTGCAACCTAAGTGCAGCCACACTGTGACCAGCCACCCTCTTCTCTTGCTACCATGTCTTCCCTGCCTTGATAGACTATGTCCCTCTGCAACTGTGAGCCAAAATAAACACTTTCTACCTTAAGCTGATTTTGTATTTCAAGGGTACTTTGTCATGGCACCAGGAAAGTAGCTAAAATAGTAAGACTGAATCTCTAAAAGCCTATCAGGGTGGCAGTTGGAGTTAAAAAGCCATGTTACTAAAGATGTGCTTGTCCATGCCTTTGTTTCCTCCTCATGAGGCAGGACAGAAGTGTTTCACCTCACAAAGCTGCTATGAGCCCTGAAGAAGCCAGTTCCCACAGCATGCAAATCAGCATAGGGATGGGGACCTGTGGCTGGTATCTATTATTTATATTACTAATTTAGCCTATTCATGCCTTATGCCAGTGTTCCCACCCGGTAGTCCCTTGACTTTATGTTCTTTTTACCACTGTGAATTTAGTATTAATCTTTAGGCTGACTCATATCCTATTTACTTAAAATTTATTTTTAAAGAAATTGTACCTCATCATGGTACATGGGAAAATAGAACTGTGTCATAACTGAGAGGCAAATGTAAAAATAAATGCAGTGAAAACAAACGACACCTGTTGTTGGCCAAAGGTATCAATCACCAGCCTCTTGTGTTATGTAAGTTGGAGACAAGAGGGCATAAAGCTGTCCTTCAGAGACTAGACAGGCATGTCTAACTTGTAACTCACAGGCCACATGTGTTCCAAAATAGTTATGACTGTGGCCCAGCACCCTATAGATGGTAATGTCCTATTGTACTATGAGATAGTTAGGCACCGCACACTAGAAACAGTAGAACATTGGTTCTCAATCTGTGGGTCTCACAGAAGCACTATGTGGGAGGGGCTCTCCCCCAAAGCTCTGCCATCCGGTTGCTGTCTTCTAAACTCTCAGCACACATGAGACCCTGCTCCCCCTCTCCCCCCACGGGGAGGCACAGCCCTCAAGCTGCATGGCCCTATTGAAGCTTCTGTCCTGATAAAGACAGAACATGGCCACCATGGGCACAGCTAGCAAGCACCTGAAACACGGTTAGTGTGACCAAGGAGCAGAAGTGCTCAATTTATTTGGCTTTAAATAATCTCAATCTAAAGGAGCCTGGCTAGTGGCTGTGGTGGGAGAGAGAACAGTTCTACTGAGAAAGCTGCACAGGGCTTCTCACAGGCATGGGGTCATTTGCGGTTATGCCTTCAGCCACCTGCAAAGGAAATCCTTTGAAAGTAGACAATAAATTGCCACAGGATGTAATGGATGATTGTCTGTTTCAGCCCTCCTCACTGGTGAAGCCCCATGTGGAGGTTTCTTTTTTAGCTCCCTGTGAGGAATTAACATCTTTTCTTGTTAGCTATGAAATCACTCAAAATAACCAACTGCATTTCCATATCACAATGGCTGCCAGGAAGCCCTTAGGAAACTCAAATCACTGGGAAGGACCATGTTGGATCTCAGAATAAATAGTTTCTACTTTTTCCTTTTCAAACCTTTGAGTTTCCATTCTATTAGACTCTGGTATATCTTTCTCTTCTTTTTATCACTCCTTCTTATGTGCTCCTCTAGAAATTATCTCAAATCTAAATAACATTCATGTTAAAAAATCTTATAAGTAATTCCCAGTGGCACCATTATTTAAATAAGTCACTTTTATCCATTATCAGTGACATGGGGAACACTATACAAAGTTTCCTAAAACGTTTCCAAACACCAACCAGAAGCACTGTAAGACAAAGACTAATACAAATGTTATATATAGAACTAGAAACTTAAACATCAAAATCCCCACAACTCTGGTTGCAAACCATCTGCAGAACATACAGGCCCTGCAGAGGACCTGAGGCACTCATGAGAATATCTTAGACAGCTCTGAGGACTGAGTGAGGACATCTGCAGTCTTGGCTTATCAAGACACCATGGTTCTTTTCAAGGGTAACCTAACTGGGCATGGCAGCACACACCTATAAACTACACACTTGCCAAGATCCTGTTTCAAAACAATAGCAATCTAGTTTTCATTTGGGACATCATGTCTCATCTTTCACGCTCAGACAAGTGGTTGAATGAGATCAGTGCCAACCTGGGTACCAGCAATGGTTACAGGAGCCAAACTGAGCCAGCCATGAAAACCAAAATCCTTCACCTAACCTCAAGATTCAGCCATAGACCTGAGATCCAAGATGGACTGAGACATGACCCAGGTCTTCGCTGAAGCCATGCAGACAGGTTGAGTGTGTGGTACTGCTGGGAAACAGCCATCAAGCCACAGACAGCCAGCAGAGTCACAGAGCAACAGCAACACAAGGCGACAATGGGAAACTCCATGTACATCCTCCCATCCTCCTGACCAAAGGCCATACACCACTCCACTTGGGAAGCTCTTGTAGATACACAAATAGTGCCAACATGCAAAGCATCATGGCTTTCCAAACATGATGTGCGCATGAAACTCCAGACACTTACCTGATACACATGGAATGCGTTGGCTGCTTTGCCTCGGAGAAACACAGAAGGGATCCAGACATTGATCAGCGCCCGATTTGATCTGACCAGAATAGAGATGAGAGGGGCATTTTTATTTACAGAAAAAAACAAAGCAGGCCAAGAGACTATTTTCTCCAATAAAAGGCATTTCAAACAAGGACACTTATACAACAGTCATACATCTAACAGGGAGATAAGGAAATATTTAATACTTATCAGTAGACCTCAGAAGACTATCTTTAAGGACCTTGGTTTAAAGGACACACACACACAAACACACACACACACACAAACACACACACACACACACACACACACACACACATACATCTCCTTTATATGGTACATAAAAGGATATGCATATACATCTAAATTTACATATGCAGTATATTCTCTGAAATAAAGTTTCATCTTGGGTTCTTACCAGCTAAGTGACCCTGGCCTAGGATGCAGCTGAAGCCCAGTAACCACATCTGATAAAGGAGGTCATACCTAGTAACACCCAGTTTCTGGAGCACCCCCATGGAACCACCTGCCTCTCCATTACCCTGGTTTCTGACCCTGATCTCCATTTTCACACAGTAGCTCAGGAAACAATACCTGTGGTTTTGAAAGTGACAGCTACCTGGGGTTGCAGGGCAGGGGCGGAGGGGGCAATGGAAAAGAATATATTAAAAAATCTCAGATGCCAGGTACAAATACCCTCCAAAACACTGTGTAAAGTGCAGTCATACTTTGCTTCAGTTGTAAACTTGATACACCTGAAAGAGGAACCTCAACTGTGGAACTGTTTCCATGGGACTGGCCTGTGGGTGTGTCTATGAGGCACGTTCTTAATTGATAACTGAAATGTGAAGCCCACTCTACTACAGCATTTCTATCTGAGGGTCAAGCTCATCTTGAACTTTGATCATTCTTTGCCCCCTCCTTGTTTTCTCATCTCCTACACCCACCATGGCAGCCTCCAAGACAGATGGGGCATATGACGACCTGTGCTGTCCATAGTCTCACCCCAGTGCTAACATACTCTGCAAAGCTCCAGGATTTTCACCCTATCAAAGAAGACACTAAGGCTCAGTGAGGTGAGCTTATCTGAGGTCACAATGTTATAAGTGTGGTGCCTATGACACTGGTTTCCTGGCTCTAGACAAAGTGTTCATTCCAATGTCCTGCCTTCCCCCATGCTCTAAGAGTAGACTTTCTAAATGAACCTTCTCAGAGGGAGGCATGACTTTTGCTGTTATCAAGACAAAGGCTCACTGTGTCTAGCTGCCCTTGAATTCCTGGGTCTAAAACTAGAGAGGCTGTGGTCATCTACCAACCACAACCATGTGAAGAGGAGAAGTCTAAGGGGCCTAAGGGGACTATGGCTACCTAAAGGGAAAGTGTATGAAGGATAACTGCCCCCTCAGGGGTTACCAGCAGAGCCATCAGACAGAATTGGAGCCAGTCAAATCCAGAGCAGTGCAGACTGTTCTGGGTGGGCCAGACAGCAGCAGGGAACAGGTGGCTGCAGCAAGATGAAGAGTGGAGTGTGGGCCTTGTGCAAAAGGACCATCCATCCTGCTCAGATGACCATGGCCTTGCAAGAGTGACAAGTTAAAACTCTATGTAATGCCTTCCCAACTTTAAATTCCAATTCAAAACCAGAATGATTTTTTAAATGCCCAAGGGAAAATAAGGCACAGTAGATGGCCTGGACCTCAGAAAATGTCCCCAGATCTATAACCAAATGGACCCTGTGTGACCTCATGGGCCTCTCTGCCTTCCCCTGTAGACTTCAGGACACGAGCTAGCAACAGGGTTCACTCTCTAAGGACCCTTAAGAGCACTTGCATTACTTACATTTCAAAATCCGACAAACTCTGGTCTTCAGATGTTTGGCTCAAATCTCCAGGTACCTGCAGATAGGGAAAGAGAAGGGAGAGAAATCATGGGTTACCACAGTTTGCATATTCACCAACAACTTCTGTCTCTCATGTAAAGTAGCTACTGGAAAATAATAAGATTTCATGGAGGGCTGGCTAGGGATGATGCTGTAGTCATAAAAACATGCTGCCACGCGTGATCTCAATTATCTTTACAGAAAAAGCGCTGTTAATCCTATTGAGATAATCACAGGCACATAAAAGCATGTCATTTTAGAGCCATGAAGGACTAATTAGGACTGGAGACATAAGATATCATCTGTGCAATGAAAAAAAAAAAAATCTACTGTCAGTGTGAGGAGTATCACAAATGTCACACCCAATATGTGATCACTAAAGGCCACTGCCCCCTCAAAATGGCTGCCCTTTACACCATAATGTATGTGCAACTGCAAGCAGAAAGAACATGAATCCTGACTGACAAGAGCTATGTTAAAACAAGATTGGTGACAAAAATCAGTGTCATGATGGCTCCTACCAACAATGTTTGGGGTCCTAGCCATACACCACAGAGGTAAGTGAGAGGGCCAGGAGGCATCAACAGCATGTGACCTCCACTGATCCCCTATCCTATAACATCAGATGGAGATGGGGAATCAATCATCAGGGCTGGCACAAAGGCTTACAATAGCTATGGTCTGACTATGCTGGAAGCTGCTACACTGTGGTGATGATGGTGTTTCCCCACCACCCAGGGGAGGGGCTTCTTCTTGCCATCTGATTGAAGGTGATTAGAATTTTAAGAATGTGTACAAAGAAAGGGGAGGCACCTGGAACAGAGAAGAATGTAGCGAAGTGAGGGAATATTATCAACAATATCGATCAATTTTCATGTCAATTTGAGGGGCAGGTACTGTTTGCCTCACTTGTGAAATCAAGAATTGGAGCTTCCATCTAGGAAGCAGCTACAAGCCAAGTCTGTCTACTTCAAAGTCTTTTGATAAAGACAAAGAAGAAAGCAGCTAAAAGATGAAGTCTTGAGGCTCTTTTGTAAAGAAGGCTGGAAGAGACTATAAGGTGCTCCTTAAAGAAAGCTTAGCTGTACAGACAGGAGTATGAGTGGTTAGGAGCCTGGGTCCTGACCTAACTTCAGCCTCCCTTCTTCCTGGCTCCAAGGCCCTGAGCAAATCAATTCTCTGAGAGACACTGTGAAGGGTGGATTCAGAATCATCTAGAAAACTGGTAAGGCACACCTTTGGGTATGTTAGTGAGGACTTTTCTGGAGGCAATTAGCTGAGAGAGTTCTGTGTTTAGAAGACTCAGGAAGCAGACACGGAATGGATGGCACCAGATCTGCAGGCCCTGACTCAAAGTTATGTAAGCGTGTAGACCCTCTGACCAGCTGAGCTGCCAGGGAGCTCTGAGGAACCTCCAGGGATGTGACTCCTGTGCCACCACCCAGGCCAGGGTGGGATTTTTGTGACTATTGCTTTCCTGTGGGTGGTTGGAAAGAGCTGATATAACATATTCAGAAGGCAGGAGGCTGCAGGTACCAAGATCCCTAAAAAAAAAAAAAAAAAAAAAAAGGGCAGTTGCCTTTGAGTCATCCATATCCCTTATAAGTAACCCCAATAAATTCATCAAGATGGAATGAATTATTTCTTTGTCCCTGTCAGGGGTAAACAGACATTTGTTCATGTCTCCCCAGGAGAATACATGCAACCAAGAGAGAGGTCCACCCTCAGTGGGAGTGTACCACCCTGAAATTCCTGGGAGCCCAGTGGAACAGAGGGGAAAAGAAGAAAGCCAGCAATGCCAACATTCCTTCTTACTGCTTCTCATCTAATCTATGCTGCTATTCCTCCTAACCATGATGGGACTGAAGCCCCTGCAACTGTGAGCCAAAATAAACAACCCATACCCTTTAGGTCATGTATGTCAAGTATTTGCTCACAGTGATGGCAAAGCAGCAAATACATGCACTGTTCCCAACTTCACAATAGGTTAATTGTGACAATACCCAGAACAACTCTCAGGGTTGTTCTGAGGATGAAAGTTACTGTAGAAGATGCAGAATGGTACCTGGCACATCAAAGAACACAGTCACAGGCTACATGCTTGATGACAACATGGTAACCAGTGAGAAGTAAGAGCTGTACATTGTTATCCTGGGTGGTGCATGAAGAATCTGTCTAGCTGGCCTGAGGGAACCTTTCAGCCCATGCAAAAAAGCCTAGAGGGAGAGTGACCCAGGTTCAGCATTTGTGGGTATCTGCAGCTAGGCACTTAAACTGGGCCCCACCCACACACCTTCTCTACAAAAGTACTATCAAGAGACTCCTGCAGACCCAACAAGGAGAAGCCTGCCCTGCCACTGAACAAACTGCACGCTCACAGAACCATATGCCTCACTGGTCCAAGGGCTTATTGGACTGGGCTTTTGTGTCACGCCACTGTTTTTGTGACTATTACTTTTCTGTGAGTGGCTGGAAAGAGCTGATATAACATATTCAGAAGGCAGGAGGCTGCAGGTACCAAGATCCCTAAAAAGTGAGAGGGAGAGAACCTTTGCCAAAACTGACCTAGAAGCAACAACCCCATGCACCAACCAAAACATGTCAGAGACCATCCTCAGGCAGCAGGTGGTAGCTCAGTGGGAGAACATTTGCCAGCGTGGACAAGGCCCTGGATTCCATCCCAAAAACCAAATCTCGGGTTTGTTTGATTACAGAACTTAAAATGTGTACAAACTATTCAACAATGTTAGTTACAGAATAACAGCCATGTAAGGAGGCCTGTTAGAGGAGTTTTTAAAGAGAAAGAGAGAGAGAGCACCATCCTAGATAATACACAAGGCAGCTGTCAAGAGTTATCACTGACAACAGATGGGGAGTGAGATTGAGGAAGAGGCCTTGAACTTGGAATCTCCCTGCCTTAGCCTCCAAATAGTTTGGTTTGTAAATCTGTGCCACCAGGCTTGGCCAGAATGCTGATTCCATAGTACATTCAGGCAATAAATATGGTGGAACACATATTTTATAAGAAAAATCAGCTTCCTTTTGATGCTAACCACAAGCATATCTTTGACCTCCTGAAACCTGAGGAATCTGAGAAGACCCAGCTCTGGGCTCTGGACTCCTCTTTGGATTACCCTCCATGCAGGCATAATGAAGTGACCCCAGAAAAAGACTGTTTCCTATTGGCTTGTGATCTAGGAAGTCATGAAGCAACTGTAGAGTACAAGGATAACAAAACCCATCATTGGAGAAACATACCAAAGGGATTCTTGGGTCTCCCTGGAGCACAAGCCCCCAGTGCTTTACACAGTAGGATAGAGAGTGGAACAGAGAGTGGCAGAGCCCACTCCCAGTTTATGCCAGCATGGTTTTCACTACCTTTTCTGACTCAGGATTTCCTGGGGGTTGGGAGCAGGCACAGACCAAACCCAGTAGCTCTCAATGATCATAATACTCTACCCTCACTGTCACTGTGGAACTCTAGCCAGAGTCCTGTCACTGACTTGTCAGGTCCCCACACTTAAAAAGACACCAGAGGGTCTGCCCCAAATGCCCACTATGTGCTGCCTAAATGCTTCTGAAATTTCTCTAAGGAGAGGGAGGGGAAAGGGAAGAACAAAGAGATGGCAAGAGAGGAGAGGAAAGCAGAAAAGAAAGATGAAGAGAAAAGGAACCACTAGCTAGCCTTTTCGAGCCAGAGGGGAAAGCACAGTTTCTCCCGTTGGTAGAATCAGGACATAGGTAGAGATAGAAAAGGTGGCAGAAAACAGGGCCTGATGGTGAAGCTACGCCAGAAGCTTACCCACAAGGGAGGATGAGAAAAGAGGATCATAAGCTCAAGCCCAGACCAGGTAACTCAGAGACAAATCCTGCCTCAAAATAAAAAAGCAAACTGTACCTACAGTCACAAGGGGCAAATAAGATGTCACCACATGTCACCTAATGCTACCTGTGCTACAAAGCACTCTCATGAAGAGCCTACCCCAGTGGGCTGCTGGGCCAAGGTGTCATCTCTACCCACAGGGAAGTCATGAGGATTCACATGAACAAACCCCAGAGGAAACAAAGATGTCAAGAGCCCAATCCAGGCTGCCAGCCTCCTCCGTAACCCCGTGCATTCACTCACTATGGGAAAAGAGCACCCGACACTAGTGAAGACTGGAATCTACCTCCAGGTGGACACATGGCCTTGTCTCCCCTCTGGAAAGTTAATGCAGTTGAGCAGGTCAAGGGCCTAGTTTGGCGAGCACTCTTAGAAGAAAGGTTTACTGTGCGATCCCTTCTTCCCTAATGTAGTCCCTAGAAGCTGCCGTGAGGTTCAGTAGGGTTGGTGGGCTGTTTGGAGCTTGAGCTGGGAAGGCCTGTCTCTTTCTGATGCTGCTGTCAGAGCCCACATTCACTATCCCTGGCACTGTGAACTTCCTTACTCATACGCCCTGCTACGTGACTGTCTGCTGTCATATGACTGACCTCCACACCAGCTTTTTTTTTCCCTTTCTCTTCTCCATTCTCTTCCCATGTGTAGAGAGCACGGGGTCCATATGCTTATAGATAGCCATACAGAAACCAGAATGTTAAACACGCAGGCTTTCCTCCTTTACGAAAGGAATGTGCACACCTGTTTCCATTCAGAAGGCTGGAAATTTATGTGTAAATAACCTGGTAATGTTTGTTACTCTGTGTAGCCATGCTTCACCAGACTCCCTGAGACTCCTGAGCATACTTTCTCAGTCAACAGAACCCATTCTTATGGAAGAGGTCAAAGGTATTTGCAAAAGACATGTACTTTTACAGTTTCCATGTAGCCATATCCTAAGTTTTATGATAATTGTCACAAGGAAACCAATTTTATGTGCTGTGTTTAAATATGTTAAAAAAAAAAGTGGGGGGCCAAGATGGCAGCACCAGGAGAACACTGTGTCTGAGCAGTAGGACAACATTTTCCATACAGTGGCCAAGAGACTGAACTCTGGGCTCTAAAACAAGAGCGATCGTGTTTCCCAGGTGAGAGGAAAC